TATTTTCTTAATTTATGTAGCCAATTTGGAAACTCGGAAACCGTTACCGGAATGAAATACAGAAAAGAAAGAAAAATATCAATGTTACGTGATATTTTCCGAAATACGAGACGCCTAATTGTTCTCTCTACCTTCCTATTTAAAAAACACCAGGCAACTGCTAACCAATTTCTTACATCTTCTATAAAATATGATACCACTTTGGCGCGGAACATTTTATGTAAACCAAGCGTTGTACAGCGTTGATTAATTGCAGTTATGGAAAGAACGGAAAACAAACCGTTTTATTAAAGTTTCTCAGTGGAAATTACGACTTCTCATCTTTTCAACGACCAATTTCCCATATAAATGAAACTACACAATCTCAATATGTTGTCATCTGCATACAATTTACTCAAATTCTTATATGATGTATTCAGAAATTTGTAAACTTTAAGTTTCGATAACCCTAATCTTTTGATTAATTAAAAATTACATTGGAATAATTATAACAAATTAAAGATAAATAAATAATAATCTAATAAAAGCAGTTATCAAAGAGGACAATTAAGTAAATGTTTATTAGATATTACAAAACGGTTATCAAATGAAATGTATGTATGTTAGTAAAATTTTTGAAATAAATCGTGGTAATGCGATCAATTAGGTACGCATTTACCTACTCGTTAAATTTTACATCTTTAACAGTATTTAACAACGATGGCATGAAATGTTCCCTTTGTGTTAAGTCAATCATTAATATTTTTTGCTTTGTGCTCGTGATTTTGTTATAATTAAAAAAAGATTTTTCGAATGAGCCGCAGTGGAACAGGACCTGTAAAAACAGCCAATTGTATTTTCAAAAGATTATTCTTCCATTTCCGACCGTCGCAAATGAGAAACTCTTGTCCATTCAGAAAGTCAACGGTTTTTATTTTTATAGTCGCGAACATTAAGCAAATACTTTGGCTGAATAATATCTTGGTACATTTAGCAGCCAACAAATAAACCCGGCAAGACGCGGGGTGTGCATTTCAGCTTTTTTCCTACCAGTTTTTTTCTTAACGCGAGGCAAATCCATAATTTTGAACCCAGAACTCCCAACAAGTATGGAATTATGAGGTTTCTTCCTTTGACAGACATCCAAATGAATTTTTATAATTGTATTATATTTCTGGATGAGTGTTAAAGGATGTAGGAAAAGTTTAATAATAAATTAATGTTCAGATAACTTGTGCGTCTCTCTAAAACACCCAACTTTTGTGATGTGAGCTAAATAGACACGGTTAATATACATACATATACGACTTCTTGTTACTCAGGAGTGTTTTTTGAATACGTAATACCTTGCCGTAAATGGGAAAACGACTTGCTCGAGATTTTATGTGCTTCACAATCAACGTTGCCAGCTTATTATATTATACATTCACTCGTAGCTACAATTTGCATTATACATACATAGACCGTAAGTTCGGTTTTTACCACTGACGCTGCGCTAGAAATGGCCTTTGTCTACAAACAAATTATGCGTGCGTATTTGCAATACACTTTCAGAAGCTGCATTTTCAATCACGGGTTAATTAGCAAAACGATAAACACTTATCCATAGTACCTCGGAAAGTAATAACAATGAAATATTGAAACTAGTAAAATATGGGATAAAAATGGTATGTTTACTTTCCTAAATTCCTTTTGATATTGAGCTCCAATAATCAAAAAGTATAATACATTCCAACTTTATCGAAAAAATTGAGATAAAAATCTTAAGTGAAAAAAAGAGCTTCATGAAAGTGTTTAACAGTCCCGCTAATTCGCTCCAGTTTAACTGGCTGATCATTGTTAATGACGCGTACGCAGTCTAGACGGGCCGGTTTGTTCATTTTAATAAACATTGCATACATACATATTTGTGTGCTCTAAATAATAACAACCAACTTCGTCCTTTTCTAATGGGCTTGCTTCGAGACGCATTACTTATAATGAGTTTTGGCCGTACTAGTTTCGGATTCTGCCAAAGAACTTGCATTATTCGAGTTCGTTTGTTATGAAATTATACATCAGAAAATTGTCATTTCGCTTAAAATTCGCTGGTATGATAGCAGAAGGTGGGTAATTCGGATAATTTAACTTTCAAGGATTGTTTTCTAAGACGCGGAATTTGAGGTTTGTTCTTTTGATGCAATTTTCGATGAAGTTTGTGGGACTAATAGGGTACATAAAGGGTGGATAAATTTCTATAAAGAAATATTGTCTACAAAGAATTATTCTCCAACTCCCTAAATTTATCTGCTTATTCTGCTTATCCATTTGCACAAATCTTCATTAGTATTAATTCTTTCATCACCTTGTAAAAACAAACAGCTCAACGAAACAACATCGTTTGCTTAGCGCGTTTGTAAAAATTTCTGTTTCAGAGCCTGTGAAGTGTCCAAAGCGGGACACACCTTGGTAACAACAAATTCTCCATATCGAACCATCTCGACGTATCGTCCTTTTACAATGGCTCGTAAATTAGTAGATTTAGGAATAAATTAGAAGATCCACTAGCGCTGTCCGAATAAGTTAGTAGCGCAAAGTCGCTTGGGAGCGTCTGAACCGACGATTTGAACCTGACGGGAGCAATAATTAGTCCTATTCGAAGAACGTCGTAACTACGAAAAGTAGGTGTATCATAAATAATCGAAAATAATAAGTACCTTACGTTGTGTAAATTTATGTTATTGCTTACTCTCGTGTAAGCATTATAATCGTTAAAACATCAATGGAGTTTTTTTTATAAAAATCAATACCAATGGAGTAGTAAAATATTTCACTGCCAATTTACATAAAACAATTACTATTTTTCAACGTAATTACGAATTAACATAATCCTACGTTAGCGAGTCGAGAGAAATATTGCATAATAATGGTCAAACAATTACATCAGTGTCCTCTCACGTTCGATCGTTAACACATAACAGTAACCGTGCACTTTACTCGATAGACAAAGGAGTAAAAATTAGACGTATAAAAAATGTTCATTCTTAAAAAATGCCACTTAAGAATCTTGTAGAACTGTGACCTTGATAGTCGGTACTCTGAATTCCGAGCTGAATCCATAAATCTTCTTTTAATGATAGAGTAATTTTTTCTGAATATAAATTAGCATAAGATGATTCTCCTATTAGAGTTTGCCTTTAATCGTGTGCTATTAAATATCTTAAAATCCATACATAGATATGTAAATGTAATTTTATTCCACCTACGAATGCGTGTAATTAGCTCAAGATCTCTTATTTACGACACCTTTAAATGACCATATAGTCAGTTAAACCGTATGAGCAAAATTATAAAATGGTACAATCAAGTTTTTAATTTCTATTATACCGTGTTACTCAATATAGTGTGATAAAGTTTGTTATCTTCCTGAATAATCAGAATTTTGTAACTAATTTATGTACTTTGGAAATACTATTACCTACTTACCAAAAAAAAGTTGGTATGAAAAATATGTAGTATGTTCTTACCTGAAAAAAAAAACAGATAAGTATTAAATTATTAAAGTTACATTAACAAAAATACTTAATAACATATTTACATAATTTAATTAACAAGTGAGCATAATTTTAGTGTTTTTTTCATTCATTTTTTTGAGTAATTGCTAATGGTAAAGGTCAATATCCAAAAAAGACAGCGTACGCAATAGTCGAGATAAGGAATTTTCAAATATTTACAAAGTTTTTATCTTACTAATGCTACAAACGATTGGAATTTGTTTAAATTTAGGTGATATAAAAATTACGCTACAATAAAAACAAAATTGTATGCGAATTTCAATCGCCTAGATTCGAACGTTTGGCGGGGGACGGATTGACAACTTTATAAACGCAGAATATAAAAGAAAGCTCGGCATATACGTATCGAAAAGTGCTTTGTACTTTACGAATATATTTAAAGTTTCCAGTCGGCCCTAAGCTGTTTTCTATATGAAAATAAACCAAAACGAAGTGAAAAACTTACATTTATTAAATATATTTGAATTTTCCCAAGAAAAAGAGAGAATAAATATTTTCGAAAGATTCAACTTCAATGTCAAACTAAATATCAACAGAAATATGGAATACATAAATGTCCTGTATCAATAATCGTATAGTTTTAATTAAAAATGTTTCCGTCGAATTTAATTTAAGAAAATTCGTATTATCTAATCATATCCACAAGCAATTGTGTGAATGTTACATTAGATTGATATTTAAAATTTACGGTCAACTACAAATAATTACTATAAGAGATACCCTTAAATAACATAGGTTATCTTTAAATTTATTATCGGATATTTTCGTATTAATTTTTTATTTATGTAACAGCGATTAACTTAGGTTATGAAGCAAAAAATAAGTTCTTATTTTTGAAACAGAGAACTTTCAAAACGATCAATTATTTCGCGCTTTACTAATTTGCGAAAGGGTGTATTACAATCATACGTAGGTATGTATGTACTGCCCTATTCAATTAATTGTCGGTATGACAATTAATATTCCATAAGGTTTGCAGATGCATATTCATTAATTAAACCACCATTACTATTAACTCGTTCTATTTATGCGCCATCCACTATTCATGGGCGAACCTCATATTTTATAGATAAATATTTGCCGCCTGTTTAGACTTTGCGATCCTTATCGAATCCAATTTTATAACGCCACTTTCTTTACCCCAAACATCACCTAATATTCCATCGCAGATTAAATTTCTTTCATAAATCTTTCGAGTTCACAAAGTCGAGTCGTAATTATCAGCACAAGGAAAGTAGAGTCAACTTATTCGCCGTATTAAATTTTAGCGTAATGAGGAGTAAGTTAACAACAAACTGGATAAAGTATAACTGTAAGAAATATCGGGTAACACGTGAATTTGCTTCTGCATTACACACTCATCCCTTAATTATGGGGATATTATTTGTAAGGTTGTTTCAAAATGTGAAGGTTTTAACGAGGGATAAGTTTGATTTTTAAAATGTATCGAATAAGGAGAGTAAACTGTTTTGCCACATCACTATATTAGCTCGTACAGATATCCTTCTTAGATTTAATAGAAAAAAATTGGGTATTCATTCGTGTCCTTCGGAAGTGCGTCTAATATGCATCTGACTGCCGGCTTGATGCGGCCCGGATCCTTTCCTCTCGATTTTCTCCTCGCTCTCCTTCTCGTGGCACACGACCATTTTCAGGAGATGATCGATGCATATGTCGTAGGGCCCGTTTTTGCCGGGAATCTCGAGCACGACGGGCAGCATTTTCCTAACTTGGTGATTGTACACCAAGCGGTGAATCAAATCGGCGGCCTCGCGTTGTATCAGCAATATGCCGATGTCGGGACGGTTGACGAACCGATGAAACACCTCCTCGAGCTCGAAGTTGGTTTGCTTCTGGTTGTACAGGAAGAAATTCGGCGTTTCTTCGAGATCTATTTCGCCGATGCCGCCCAGAAGGTACCCGACGCACGTGTCTTCGTCGGCTATTATTCCTATGAGGTACGTGGTGGAGACCACGGATGATACGGATTCTTTTTCGGAATTTTTATCGCTGCGAAGTTCGCTCGGTTCTTCTTCTTTGATATCGTACAATACCGTACCGTGCATTATTGGAAATTTAATTTTGTGGGACTGTTTTTATTTTACATTTGGAATAATTTGGATTGACAAGACGTTCGAAAAGTAGGTTAATTTATGTGACAGTATGTAAGCTTTGTGTATAATACTAAATTACTATTCAAAGTTGTGTTAATCATTCCGGGATAAATCCTACTTCTTCGCTTGTTTATATCATTTGCTTAATGAAACAATTAAAGAAATAGTTATGATCAAGGAATGATTACCTACATAATTAAAGCTTATTTATTCAAATATTTTGAAATTATTTAAAAAAAAAACGTATTTTACAGATTTCTCTAATGATATTTATTTGTGTAGGTATATGTACTTCATACATGAGCCTCTCTTATAACTTATACATAAAACATAAATAATATAGGCAATTGATTCGTATGTATAAATAATTAATGAAAAAGCTCCTACTCATTTACTAGGTATTTCATTGCCTTATATTCCGGTGCATAAAGCACCACATTACGTGCATACGGGATATAGACAGTTTTTACAACTTTAAAAATGGAATTTTTTATATGCATCCAGAAACTACGTTTAAATTAACTTTACCTTTAATTTTTTTTATTGTCAAACACCGGATACCCGATTTATCTGATATCTGCATAATTTATTAGAAAAACTTGCCCTGTAATGAGTAGGTGTATTCTGGCCCCATAGAATATCGCAATTGGGAGTTCTGCATTTCCTGAATAAACTCGATATCTTGCATTCTCCGACAGTAACTAGTTTTATAATTTGTTATCAATCATTTGCACAACAAAAAATCGATATCTCAATTTAAAAAAATAAATAATTCCGAAATTCTGAAGCTTCGAAACTAAACTGAATAAATGAATAAGCGAGTAAAAGTCCGTTGATTTGTGTAACGTTCAATATTTAATTACCGAAAATTTACATGTGTCGTACACCCACGTTGATAAATACATATTAATTATGCATTGATCCTAATGTATTTTTGACATGCACCAAAATTTTGTCAAAGAAAACAAATCGAAACTATAAAACTGAAACGTAATCATTTTGTCTTTTATGTGAAATTCCATCAAACGATGAATATTTTACAATACATTTATAATGCACACGCTTATTGCAAATGGACTTCATTAAATATACATATGTCGCATTTAGATAAAACCGCCCACCAGACATTGTTGTTATCAATACTCTTGACACTACACGAAACTAAATTACTAAATTATTCGTCTTCTTTATGTGCAGGAACATAATTGTTATTAAATTTCATCGCCAAGTCGTCGTGTTGTCTACAAGTTTTCATAAAAAAATAGTCGTTGAGAAAATATAGTCACCTTAAAATAATCACTCTGTTATTTTATGCGGTGTTTGTTTTACAAGGCGCGAGAGAAGAGGTGAAAATTACTACAGAAGTAAAGTGGGCCCTTCAACTACCCAAAAGCTTATTAAGGTACAATTTAAAGTACCTCGCATAATACTGGAAACGACCTCGTACGTATGTAGGCGATCATTTTTCTATTTTATATTTAATCATTTGGCGCCACCGAAGGATCGCACGAATTCTTTCATGCCGATGAATTTCAAAGCTATTCGACTCCCAGCTCATCTCCCGAAACGTTAAAAATAGATCAGCCGTGACCCACTGCGATAAATTAATTGTTGTCTTAGCCAACTGGATCTTGAGAAGAATAGGTATGTGCCGCCGTTTAATTAGCATTAGTTCAATCGATCGTGGCGTCTCGAGTTGAATATTAAAATAGAAAAAAAAGGAATGCCTTTACATCATATGTCATCAGAAATCAATTCCGGTAAACAGTAGGGATTTTTGCTTCTACAGTAAGATGCGCAGTGGTTTATTTAAGACTTAAGGCTGGGCAGTTCGCGTCTACAGCTATTTCCGTCGCGATGTAAGTATCTAAGGCATTTTTATATTGATAAATCCGACAGTTTTAAAGTAAACTTTGAAATATGGCATTTTTTTATTTACTCATGTGCTTTTCTAATATCTACCTCGGAAGATTAATATAAAGCGGAGTAGGTATGTGAAATCGTGTAGTCGTATCAAAAACGATCCCGATAACCTAAATAAACAAAGTGGTCATCAATAAAAAAAAAATAAACAACATATAATAAACCATTAATTCGAACGTATCGGTTGGCTTTAATGATGTTGTGATTGAAATTATTTTAGGATAAATTTATAAGCACGCCGAGAATTACATATCTTTATTGATGTGTTATAAAGGTTTCAGTCAGATATGATTAAAGATTAATTAATTATCTTATGGATTGTGTGGGATATTTGTAATTTATTTTTGTTCTATGGGATATTCCTATAAATTTCAAGAATATTATTCAATTCAAACTTTAAAAGTGATGGTAAAGTGGGTAAGAATACTGACTGAATATTTTCCTGGCAAATGTTTTTCTCAATAATTATTACAAAATAATCCGTACTTTTGTAAAGGGCGCCTGATACGCTTTGTTCTTTGCGAATTATTTTGAATAACGCATCTCAGTTAATTAAATATGTTGTGTTTGTTCAATTTCATGGTTTCCGCATTTCATTCATCGATTTGCAGTTCGCAAAATGACTTTTAACCGACGCAATAATTGCGCTTACCACAATACACTTTATTAAAACATTTTGCATGGTTAACTTTTATTTTTCGAAAAACGTTTAATAATCTAATTACGAATGATCACAATGTTTCGTTATTAATTCGCAAAATTAATTATCTAAATAATGTTCAATTAGTGAATTTATTGGGGAACATACGTTTTTTGCGTCGGTTACGTTATTTTCCGTACGAGTTTCGGATTAAAGTGGGAGATAAATTTTCAATTCGGTGCTAATTATTACCGAATACAATTATTATTTATTTGGTATGTTGAGCAAATAATTTGTTCCCTGATGCAAATCTTGGAATATTTGTGTTATATTTACGTAAAAAATAACTAGACTTGAATGACTTATATAAATGTGCATATATTATATATTTTGAATCCGAAACACCGTTTTTAAAAAACACAATTTTATTGTTTAACAATGTATCGAACCCAATGGTTCTGAAGTCTGATGAAGAGTGAGTTAAAATTAACAAATCAAGAGCTAAATTCAAATAAAGTGATTACATATTATAAAATACAAAGAACAAAGAAAATTTATAATAAGCTTGCCTTGGATATCTTCTAGATTCGTCCGGACGTTCCTTATCTATGAAACCTTACATTTTCTGCACACCTATAACTCACAGTTCATCTTTACATAGGCCTCATTCCAAGTGGTATATCAATCGTAAATGATTAATAAGAATATTCTTTAGCTATACCTATGTTTATAAATATAGTGCTCCACAAAAGTTAAGGAAGTTCACAAATATTGAGATTAATTTAAAAGTTGCAGGTTTTTTGACCGCCAAATTTAGTACGAGTTATAGAGGTAGGGGCAAAAAATCCACTTATTATAGATATGAGAAAAAACATTTAATTTCGCATATTTGAAAATTTGGTGATCAAAAAGTCTGTAACTTTTAAAATAATCGTAAAATTTGCGAACTTCCTTAACATTTGTGGAGCAGTTTAGTTACCTCTATACCTGCTTATTCATCTATTGCGATAATTTAATTAGCATACTCGCCGATAACTCCGATTTAATTAAATAAATTGCTTCTTTTCCATTAGATATTCGTAAAAAAAACTGTTTCTCAAACAGCACGCGCTGAAATGATGTAAAACTCCAATCATGAATGTCGCTTTTTCGCTACCTTGCGGATTTCTGGGATATGGAAAACGTTTACTGCTATTTTACTTTTACGACGAAGTCGATAATAAAATGAAATATATTATAGAAAATCCCCGAAAGCAAATCGTAAGTAGCCAATAATTGAGATATACTCTGTAAGCAAGATCTATTTGAAGTTTCTGCTATATCTACTGTACACAAGAGTTAAAAAATATTAATCTTCAAGCGCTTTATGCTTGTGCATTGGATATATTCAAATTGAGAATTTTAATAAACGGAACGATGGGACGTCTAATTTCGTATAGATTTCGTAGGCATTTTGTCTTAATTTTCGTAATCGGAAGGCGACGGATATGCCGTGCATACGAGCCGGAATGCACTGAATAGCGCAGCGTGGATCGTGTAGAAATCAGTTTTGTGCTTACCTATAAATCATTGATTGAAAACTGGAATATGCGATCGGAATATATTGCTATTTATGGAATTGCGACGACCAATAAAGCGAAAACTCTTTTGTACTCCAGAACCCAACCCGAGATTAAAAAATATATTAAAAGAAAATTGTTTGGCAAAATAATTGCCATCATTCCATCACTGTTATATTTGATGAGTACCTATTGTATTAAAAAAATTAACAGACTTCTTGTTATCGAGCCCAATGTGTATACGTTTTATATTATTTTATTATTAGATGCACTAAAAGCAGGCGTTATTCGACGCTTTATAAATAGACAAACGGCCTAAAGCGCAAATTGCCTCAAGAGGAGACCATAAATTACGGACATTTAGATTTATTCGCGTCACGGTCGCATGTAAGTAAGAGGTCTACAAATTATCCGCCAAAAAGGGGTGATAATAATTCGGCGTTGCGGTGCTTTTACATTTTAATGTTGTTAGAACTTTATTTAGCGCGAGTTGCGAAATATTTTCCAAAGCAGGTGTCTTTGGAGGGCGGCATTTTCTCGAAAAATTATTGCGGCGGCGGCTTCGTGGATGTGTATAAAAATTTTCGAATAACCGCGCACGCTGGTCGTAAAATAAGTGCAAACAAGCGAACGTAATCGGCCTAGTTTCTAAAACGTGTCTAAAAACTAGCGTTTTTAATACTATTCCAAATGTGTCACAGCTTTAATAATAACTTAATTTGTCACATATTAAAAGCTATAACTTTGTATGGTAATAATTTTAATGTTAATTTGAATCATAAGCTAGGACGAATTGCTTATAATAAAAAATTTACGCGTTGAAATAAAAATAAAGTATGTATGTTTCGATATTTTCACGCACATATTCTTCTTTATTTGCCGGTGCCCGGAA